AATTTTAGTTTGACGCATAATTGATAAATCGATTTGACGCATCTCAAAATCAAATTTCGGTCTGATGCATCTCAGTTATATTTCACCTTTCATTAATTTGTATATCAGCTCTAACAGAATTTATTATTTACACTAGTTAAATAAGATCTATACGGTAATCCGAGGTTTAAAAAATGTTATTTTCCGAAAATGAGAATAACAAAAGGAAAGACTTATTTATTTTATATGGGAAAAGCCCATTCAAAATTATTATATATAAAAAGTAAGGCATGATTGAAGCACAGATCTTCAGACCCTTGCACAATTTTCAACTTCGTCTTAGAATGTCTAACCTTTTCAGGCGCATATGTCCGTACACGTACGTATAGGAAAGTTTTCTGTCCATAATACGTACCGGTGGGGTGTCCAGTGTATATACAAATTTATGTATACTCACCTATAAAAATCGAGTATAAAATATTTTCTGTGTAACGATCACAATTATCTATTAAAAACTATTTGTTTGTTGGGCGAATCTATTTGTCGCCGGCAGTTACAAAAAATCTCAAAATTTTAAATCAAAATAACTCGAAATTATGTCTATGAAATCTAGTTTCTTGACTTAACAAAGAATATTCCTTGCATATTTTTACTACATACTATGTTCTTTCTAATCCTAAATACAATTATAAATAAAATCCGGTACCGTCACCGCCTGCGACAAATAAATTATTTCAATAAGTTCAATAAAAATTTAATGAAAAATTTTTTTTAAAAAAACTCTCTATTAGTTTAAAATGTAGGTTCTGCTGAACAAATGAGCGAAATTTTTAAAACAGTTAACATGTAATTTACAGAGGGGATACATGAAACGATTATAAAAAATTAGCAAATTTTAAATTGTAACTCCTCTGAAAGTTACATATTAACTAGCTTAAAAAATTTGCTCGATTACTCAACAGAACCTGTATTTTAAACTAATAGAGAGGTTTTTTTTTAATTTTAAGAATTTTTAGTAATATTAATAATTTCGTTAAAATTTGTAGTAATTTACTATAGATCAACGCTTTCGTTACACGAAAAAATTTATATATTCGATTTTTTATATGGGACTATACATATATTTGATTTACATAGTATATAGTCGATATAAACACAATCATCTTTTCGTTCATTCAACTTGAATTTAGACAACTGAAATCTTTATAAATAAGTTTTTCTAATCTTGTACTAACAAAATAAACTAGATAATCTATTGTGAAATATGCTTACATCGAACAAGAATACATCTGACGAAAATAGTCAAAATGATTACTCCTTTGAAGAGCCCATATTATCCAGTGAAAATGATTTAATTGATCCTGCTGAGTTAGAGTCATTACCTAAAATCTCTTTAACAGAGACCACTGATTGTAGTTTCGAAGAATTTTGCAAAAATCTCAATTTGTTTACTAGTGATAATGTAAGAATTAATAGCAGATGTTTTTATAAAATTGATGAATCCGGAAAGAAAATAACTTTCGAAAATAAAAGACATCCGATTCGGATAACGACAGAAACTTCATTTGTTGAACGAAATAGTGGTAAGTGTTGGTTTTAAAAGTATGCAATTACTTTTCTGAAAAAAAAAAGCGTTATACTATAATTAATCTTTATTATTAATCTATTTTATACTTTTATATTGATTGATTATATTTAACACAATTATCATGAAGTCACAACTTATAATAGCATTCGTAGTAGCACTAATGCTGATTCAGAATTATATCAAGGTACATTTTACAGTTCAAGAATTTCCAAACATTTAAATTGTTTATTTAAGAATTCGAACCTTTTAAATAATCTAGAGTTTAATCTTGAAGACTCTTTCGAAGAACAAGTTAATGATTATCTTGAAGACCTTTTCGAAGAGCAAGCTAATGATAATCTTGGAGGCTCATCCGAAGAACAAGTTAACGATAATCTTGAAGGCTCTTCCAAAGAACAAGCTAAAGATAATCTTGAAGACTCTTTCAAAGAACAAGCTAAAGATAATCTTATACATTGTAGAGTGGATATTTTTTTGTTATTGTCATGACTTAGTATTCACCATATGTTCGATTGTTTAATAATTGTCTTAATCTGTTCATTTATAAAGTATCTAAAAATGCCATTCCAGGTAGATATTAATTTTACGAATCTTCGAAGTTATTCTATTTATTAACTTGAAATATTATGTTTCATCAAACCAGATCAAATTTTTGTCAGCATAAAATCTCTGCAATTCGATTTAAGTCCGATGAAATCTGATTTCAAGAAATCAATTCATCTAGCGACCCAATCTGCCTCTCATCATACGAAGCCTGCCATTTCTCTCAAAAAACAAATGGGAAAGGCGTTTCTTTTCCCTTTTAATTATCATTCATTGGTTTTCGACACGCTAAAATTGGATTTTTATATCTATGAATCTTTGTTAAATACAAAGAAAAAGTTTGGACGTGTTATCGTTCGATTGAATGTTTTAAGACAAGCTATTTTAGATCGATCTAAATTTGAAGGGTAAGGAATCAATAATAAAAAATAAATAAACGTCGAAATCTGGCACAGAATATCCTCCTTTATTATAAACCCTAACCCTAAAAACTAAAAAAAGAAAAAAATTTATAAAATCGTATATTAAATAGATTTTAACTTTAGCACCATCTGTGACAAGAATAATAAAAAATGCTCATTTATATCGTATACAACTAATTCAAATTGATAATATATAGAACTTTTCCTATCGAAAACAACGAATTATTACATCTTTATGATGTTGGTACCGTACAAATAAGGGCCCAAAGTGAAAATAGTTACAAATAAAAGCTCAAATTTTGAAAAATTTTACAAATAAAGGCCAAAATAACTTTGCGTTATTATGATAGTGATTCTTCGAACGTTATAACCGTAAATATGTGTTGATTTATACATTTTATATATTATCTTTCGCTAAATTAACTTTCTTTTAAGAAACAATTCTACTAGGTTAAATACGATATATATTGAGGTTGTAATATCTAATTAGTTCTAAACTAATATGTTTATCCTATTGCTATACAAACAAGTGAATCAATATTTTGTGAAGGTCACTATGCATTAATCGAAGATATTTAGAGCCAAAGTTCACTTTTATTTGTAGA